AAATATTATTTTTATATGAAATGAAAAATATGAAAATTTAAAAAGTATAATAATGTATACAGATGTAAAAATTAATTAAATAAATTATATTTATATTATATTTTAATAATTAAATTAAACAAATATAAAAAAATATATTAGATGTAAAAATTAATTAAATAAATTATATTTATATTAGATTTTAATAATTAAAATAAAACAAGCATTAAAACTTAAGTGTATCAATTATTTTTTTTAATTAAAAAAATAGAAGGCACAAATATGAGGTCAGAGGATAAGTTGTATTTGCATGTTACTGTGATATATATGATTGGATCTGTGCCTTGAATTGTCCGAAGAACATTTGAAGACTTTGGCGGAGGTGCCGGGACCAAAGAGACAACCCGGATGAGAAAAGACATTACTACCAGATGCAAAGTGCCGGCTCCTCAGTGTCGGCTTCTCAGTGTCGGCACCCTAAAACGTGACAGCTATTCTTTACACCAAAGGAATGTATAGATTAACTATTTTAATGTAATTGATAATTAATATTTAATATTTAATATTTAATAATTATTACTATTTTTAACCTAAAATATATGAACCATTCAACTAAAACTAATAACTAATTATTATTTTCTAACCTCTAAAACAAATACCCAGTAAAATTGAGACTTCTTTGGTTACCCAAGTACCCAAACTCAGGATTTATAACATGTCTTGTAAACAATTCATGACTGTCTGATGAAAACTTAGCCCCACTGGGTAAGAGAGAAATGACTCCACCCTCTTTAGGATTGAGATGATAGATTCCTTTACATAATCCAATTTGAGAGAATTATATTGATAGTGATACGAAAATAATATAATTATAATACTATGTAACATTATAAATTTAAAATATGATATATTATTATATAATTAGTAATTTTTATTTAAAAAATTATTTATAATATTGTATACATCTATTAATATAATGACATGTCACGCTTCTTAGTTTAATAACACATTATGATTTTAAATTTATTATTTTATATGACATTATAACTATATTATCGTCAATAATGATAAGGGAACTAATTAATACACATTCATTCAACATATTTTCTAACACTCATCTTGATTTAGTTATTAAAATATAATATAAAAATAGTAAAATCAACCAATTCCTATATCATATATATACAACTATATTTTTAAATTTGTTTATCTTTAATTCTATATAAATATGTTATATAATGTGTTAAACTAAAATATATACCAATTAATGTCTTGGTGATAACCGTTGAAGATAGTGATTGGTACACACTCAATTCAATACACTACATAACACACTAACTAAAAAATAACTATTTCTTGGTCTAAAATTGAAGAGAGACAAATTTAAAGATACAATCATGCATGCATGATACAAGAACCAACTGAATCAATTATATTTATATTATATTTTTAATGATTGAACCGAAATTGTATCAGAAAATGTGTTAAACTGATCCTAACCATAGATGAGAAAAAGGACAAAAACATTGTGTGAGAATCTAACATTGAGTAAGAATCTTGAGAGAATTTTTGGGGTATGAGAGCTCATATTGTTGTTAGAGAAGAGAGCTTTTAGAAACAAATATTACTAACGAAATATATTGTAACTCTTCTTTCCTTTTCTCTTTTTTGTGATCTTAGTTGCATAATAGGAGGCAATTATCTCACATCCTTTATCTTATCCTACATGTATGCAATGTGATTTGAACTCAAGATTTTTTACTTCAAATGGAAAGAAATTATTACTGAATTATTTAAGTTATTGGCTATTATAACTCTTCTTTTGATTAGTGATTTCTTTCTATCTTACGTGGATATGGACCATTGTTAAACCACATACAAATATGTGTTTTATTTATTTATTTATTTTGCTTTATAATTTATATATTCTACTTACATAAGAAAATGATTAGTATAATTTTTAATTCAGCACACTTTATAACACTTATCGATTTAACCATTCAAATACACAACTTTAGTTCTATTGCCTTTAATTTAAATTTGAAATAAGAATTTATTAATAAATATGTTGAACCATAGAATATCTAATCATTTTCTATTTACATAATATCTTGATGATTAATTATGTTTTCTCATTAAATTGGCCTCGTAGGTGTTAAATTCAACAAACTAGTATCAAATCATTAAAGAGGTAACATCAACTTACACCGATGTAAGTGTTACACTATATTTCAACCACTCACTTTAAAATTTCAGCAATTAATGCAATATTTAAATTTTTAAAACAATTTCTTAAATTTTAAAATATGTGACTAAAAATTAGTATAAAAGAGTTTTTTATAGTTATATTAATGTAAGTTAATTCCTACTCATCTTTAAAATATTTATAATTAGTATCAAAGTTGTTGATTAGATCTGGAGTTTGGCAAACCTTTGGTGAGATTTTGGATTTGAGAAATCAGCTGCTTCTTGCTAGTCAATTTGATGAAGACAATCATGGGTTCAAATTACTGAAATACTAGGGGACTAACTCTTAATATCTTAATAAAAGCAATAGTGCGGATGCAGCGAATAAGTGAAGAAACAAAAAAGAGACTAGCTGTATAGATGTCAATTTAATCATGTTTAGCGTGCTCTCGCTAGGTGTGGTAAAATCAATTTAACGAAGAGAAGGTATGTTCCGATGTCAATAAACAACATAGGGTGGTTCTATTAGAATTATTGCACCCTTTTGTTATTTGGTAGGAATTGTTGACCTTTTTAGAGGAAATTGCAAGGGCTTGCCAACATGTGGTGTTGTAAGATTATAACATATCAAGGTGTGGTAGTGATATCAATCTTTGATCCATGGTTGTGATATGAATATACTTCTTGCCTTGTATAGTAGTGGTGGTAGCCAGGGGCGAAGTTATGAAGAGACGAGAGAGGGCTATGGCTACCTAATCTTTTGAAAAGTTTGTAAATTAGTTTTTAAATTTTGTATTTTATGATATTTTATCATTAACTTTTATTTTATTTTATTTACTTATTTTTAATATTTATAAAAATAATCATCATTAATCTTTCTGTAAATCTCAATACTAAATTCAAAGTAGAATGCTGTCATAATAATTAGTAACAAATCTATTAAATATAGATATTTCATTTTAATCTTTAATATTTTTTGTCAAAAAATTACTAAAAAAAGTCCCTAAACTTCTAACATTTCTCCGCCTGTCCTTCCTCCTACTACTTAAATCATCACTTTTGTATACCTAAATTAGTCAAAAATATTCATTTTAGCCACCAATATCTATTTTTCAAGTCAAAATATTAAATCTTCGTCTCTAGCTTATAATCTTCTACTGAACCAAATTTGTTTGTCTTATTTTGTCATTTCCTATACTATTTTTTTATGTCTTTAAATTTATTACATGCTATGTACTTTTTTAAATGTGTTTTATTTTATGCGCTTTTTTCACAAATATAACTAGATTTATTCAGTAATCATAAAAAGTTTCAATATACAGCATATTTCATATTGGCATAGCCAAGTTTGATTTTAGACTTAAATTTTCGACTTTACAACCATGTGTTATTTCCTTTGATTCTTTTTAATTGTCTTATTTCATTAACTTTATGTTAATTAATTTAATTATTTATATAACAAATGAATAACAACTAAAAAAAAATTTATCTAAAAGAAAATATTCAACAAACACTATGTTTAGAAAGGAAAAAAAATTTAATTTTCAATCCTCATATATTATATAAAATCATCAAATCAAATTTTACATAAAAATCAAATTAACACAATTAAAATAAACAAAAAAAAAAAAAATTTGTTGACAAACTTAGCCCCCTCATCTTAAATCCTGGCTCTACCCCTGGTTATAGCAAACAATTAAGTTGATTAATTGGCAAAATCACATAAGTTACTCGTGTCTATCAAGCAGAGTAAGATCAACGATTTGTTGGTCCAAATAGAAAGAGTTTAGTTTTTTTTAAACAAGATATCAAGTTCAAGTTTTGTGAATAGAGAACAAACGGTAAGAGAGCTTTCATTTATGGGATTCAATGGAACTCAATTTTGAATTAGATCTTGATTGAATTAGTCGAGATCTGATATAATTACTGAATATCAAAAAGTTAAAATAAAAAAAAAAAATCATAAAGAGTGAGATGATATGATTTTTTATAACATGTGTGGGAGAGGATCATCTAGAAAGTGGAGTATTTGGTTCGAAGTGGAATGCTTAAGAAAATTCAAGTTAATAGGTGGGGATTGTTGGGTTTGTTCCTTGAATTTCCTAAAGAATTGAAGACCGTAGTGGAGATGCCAGTACCATGTGGAAACGGGCAAGACGAAAAATTAATTGCTACTAAATGCAAAGAAATAAACTAGTTTGTTGTAAAAAGAAAAAAAAAAATCTCCCATCATTTAAAATTACATTCAGAACCCACTAATCACTAACTTCTATTATTTTTCCAAATTCTAAGAAAAGAACTAAAAATCCCACAACCCAAAGTATTTGAATTAAAGAAAAAAAATATCCCATAAAATCATATAATATGAAATAGTTTTTCTATCCAACCCATTACAAATAAAGAATTGTAAGAGATATAAGAAAGAATTTCTTCTTATTATTTCGAAAAAGATTATAATATATATAGCACCAAAAAGTGACAGGATTAAATTAATTCACATCTGACAAATATATAAAACCTGACCCAGTATTACCTTAAGGTACGTGTGAGACACAGTCTCGCAGATGCTATTTCCTTCTTCTTCCTGTTATATATTCTGAACTTCATTTCTTCTCTTTCCTTTTCCCCTTCTCTTCTTTCTGTTGTTTTAAAAAAAATAAGAATATGTCTCCTCTGTAAAAGCAAATCTTCATATTCATTAAAAAAAATGAAAGCTACACATAACATCACCAACAACAAAATTGTTCATATTTGCTTGATCTAAGCTTCACTACCTTGTCCGTACAATAGAGTGAGAGTTCATATAAAACACAACTGTTGAGAAGGGATATTGGGGGCCAAGGACCGCGAAAAGGCCAAGAAAAGGAGAAGAAACAATAATAGAAGGGGAATGGAGAGAAGTAGCAACGGCGGAGGCGGTATGTCCGGCATCATCAACGGAAGAAACAAAATTACCAGAGTCAACACAACCATGAAAAGCACCGATCTCTTACTAAAAATCTCAGACATCAAAACCTTTGTTCAGACTTCAGAACTTTACAAGATCGAAAAAAGAATACTTGTTAGTTATATGGTAACTAACTAGACTCTTCTGAGTGAAGTCAAGCTGCTAACTAGCTGGCCCGCCATCGCCTCATACCGAGTCGTCCTCCGTTGAACTGAGACCGTTCTCCGGTGAGGACCATTGAAGGGGATGAAGACGGTGACGTGTAGGTGAGAGGGTTTAAATAGGAGAAATGAGAGAAGAGGGGTTTGGAGGGGGGGCTGGGGCAGGACCAGATATATTTGGGTGTATATTAATTTGTACCATAAAGGCGGTATTTAGTCGTTCAGGGTCACCATCAATATTTTATATATCATAGAAATAAAAGGTCCTCCACGTACTCATCCTTTGGTTCTTTGTGTCTTGGTTCAACTAATTTTTTTTTTTTTTTTGCCAACAATGAAGGTGTCTTGGTTCAGCTAATTACGGCCAAATAATGCCGCGTAATTAGGAAGTCAAGTTTTTTTTTGTGGAAAAAACTCGTATTGGCCTCTGCCTACCTTATAATTTAAAAGACCACTCCTTCCGCCTAAATTTTACTTGTAACACTTAAATTTCTAGAACTAGTTAGAGTCTCTTTACTTTTTATTTATTTTTTATTAATGTATTTTTAGGATAATTTCTACATATTTTAAAATTAACTTTTTAAAATAATTTTAAAAGTACATCTTTCACGTTAATTTGATACATTTAATGTGTAACCTTATCACATATCAAATTTTTATTAAAAAATACTTAAGTAACAAATAAGATTCTAACATATGATGATATTATACATTAAATAATAAGTAATTTGTTTTACTTGATAATTTAGATGATAATTTGTTCTTACATTTTTTGAGAAAGAATCTGTTCCTACCCTCTTCTTTGGGAGGTAGATTTAGAGATTCTGCTTTTAATAAAATTAATTTTCTTGAATGATAACCTCAAAACTTGAACCTCAATATATAATTAAGATGAATGGTGCAACCGGAGGATTTCCCAAGAGGTCACTAATCTTAATAATTATCTAGCCCAAATACATTTAATTGCTAGAGTTTTAATGGGATCCAGCATATTGGTGCGATATAATCTCTTCCGCTAACTAAAATCTCTTTTACTGAGTGATTCACGTTCACTCTTAAATTTTGATTTTTGTCTATATATTTATTGGTCAAAAAGTAAAGTAAAAGTTTTCCTCTACGTGTGCTAATCAATTTCTACATGTAACAAGTAGTGCTTATTTTGGCTTTGTTAGAGTGTTCGAGTACCTTCATGGAATTAATTTAATTTTTATTTTTATTTAATTGATGAAATAAACTATAGGTAGGCTTTCATTGTTATTCTTAAAAAATTAGGTGGGCTTTCAAAACAACATGCCAATGAATAACGGAGATAAATAGCATCCCTTTATAATGGTTAGAGACCTAGACATGGTAAAATTTGATTTGCATACCTTTTACAAAAACTTTGTAATGAGAATGTATGGGTTTAGTAATTTTAGAAGTAGATAAATTTCATAAAACTATATAACAAGTTTATTTGTAAATTAATGTCAAAACTCAAAATCCCAAATAATGACACAAACTTCAACCAACCATGCATTTAAGGGCATTATCTTCTATCAAATACCATTAATTCAGGACATCTACTCTACAGTACCATAGTAGCAGTTAAGGGCATTCAATGGCATTATAGCATATATAATAAAAGTAGGGGTCTTATGTGTATATGGGTATGAGCACTTCATGTATTCCATAAATAATATTTTATATTTTTTTTGTCAAAAAAAAAATAATAATAGTAATAATAAGTGGAGGATTTCTTTCTTAGAGGATTCTCTCATGCATGATATGGTGCTATATAGTCTTGATTTTAATCGTATTTGAATTGGCTAAGTGCGATTTTATTTAATTTTCCATTACTTTTATTGTTTTTGTAGAAGAAGACTCATTTGTAAGATATTAGAAATTTTAATTAGGCAAAAATTTTCAAACTTTAAGGACTAAATTGCAAGAAAAAAAATTTGAAATTAGGAACTAAAATGAAAAAAGAAGCATGAGCTCTAATTTATCAATTTGATGCAAGTTGAGGGACCAAAATTGCAAGCAAGATAAAGTCCTTCCATTGAGGTAACTGCCATGTAATAAAAACTTAACTGATAGACCAAAAAAACCCATTATTTTAGAGTTGAGTGACCAAAAAGGGTCCAAAATTAGTTGAGGGAACAAAATGGGTATTTTTTACCGATGTTTTTCCTTTTGTACATAGATATTTAAAAAAAATAATTGTATAATGAAAGGTAATATTCTTATTTATTTACCTAACCCACTTACATATAATTTAAATTTAAAATATCTCACTTTGATTGAAAGAAAATTAATACTAAAACATTAAGATCGATATTTGTACCTAAAAATGTTAGTTTCCTAAAATTAATTACTGTTTTAATTAACTAGTATAAGATACTGTAACGTTTAAATGTAGTTCTTAAAACAGAAACCTTTAAACCAATGATCTAAATAATTCAGTGATCATCTCTTTCCATTAAATGTAAGAGATTCTAAATTCGAGTCGTATGGCATGCAAATGAGATGTGATAAGGAATGGGAGATAGTTGCTTTCCATTATATAACCAAAATTAAAAATAAAAATAAAAATAAAAAACAGAAGCCTTTAGAGATTTTGTGTTGATGTAGAATAAGTTCTAGATACCTTTTGTATCTCTTTAATAATGTTTTATTTGTTGATTAAAAAAAAGTTACCTGTTTTTTGTGTTGATGTAAAATGAGTTTAAGATATCCCTTGTACATCTTTAATAATATTTTATTTATTGATTAAAAAGAAAACAAAATTACCCCTTTTTCAGCAACCCACTTCAATATTGAAAGCAAAAATCAGCCCAAGATTGTTTTATTTCATTCACTGGTATGTTGCTCTGCAGCTGATGTATTTTCATTTCGATGTTATTTTGAGATTTGTTTCGAGCAGGTGAACGCAAGCACGGATGGAGGGGATGAAAGAAATTTCAATTTTAGTATAGATATATAATTTTTCTTTTTAAAATTTTTAAATATTATATTTATAATGAGAAACTCAAGACTAATTAATATAATTTATAATATTTTTATTATAACTATTATTTTAAAACGTAATTTGATTAACAAAAACTTTAATTGGTAAAAATGTTTGAGTTTTTATTTAAGTAGTGATTTTAGTTTCTAAATGTTGAATTACATGTTTCTTCTTTTATATTGTTTTGTTCTATAGAATATAAAAATATAACTTTTAATAGACAAATTTGTAAAAAAAAAAATAGACATTTTAAGATAGAAATAATAAGATTTTCAAATTATTTGAATTAATTGATCAACTATTTGAGTATTATAATATTGAGTTGTTATTTCTTATTCTAATAAAATAATTATTTTAATAAAAATTATTAAAGATACAAAAGTTTTTTAAGAATTTTTTTTAATACATCCAATGATAAATTATAAAATAGAAATAGTTCTCTTATATTCATATTTTTTTTCACTCATATTAAAATTTAAATTTTTAATCACTGAAATATTCTTTAAAAAACAAAACTTTCAAAAAAAATTAAGAAGTGTCATTAAAGATATTTAAAACTTAAATCATTAATAAAAAATAAAAAATAAAAAAACATAGCGCCGCTTTCCATTTATTTTCTGTTATAATAAGATCTTTTATTTTAATTTGCTGATAAAAAAATGAAAATTCAGCTCAAGATTAGTTGATGAAACAAGCAGTGGGAAATCATTTCAATGTTTGGCAACACATACAATCACGATCAAACAAAATGGACGATGCGTTTAGAGTCTCGTGTTTTTTCCCTTTTTCTTTTTCCTTTCTCTCTTTCTTTTTCATTCTCTAGACTGCAAGATCGAATGCGCCGCTCAACAATAAGATGCTTTGTTTCTGCCACTTGCAAATTAAGGAAAGACAACTAGAGTAAAAAATTGGCATCTGTTAACTTCGGCCACTATCAAGACTGTTATTTAGAAGTCAAAAATCGAGTTGTCTCTTTCAAATGCCTCATCAACTGGTTCTTGCGTGCCAATGTGAAATATTCTTCTCTATAATTTTAGGGCTAATTTTAATATTTAGATTATTAATTATTGGATTGCTATAAATAATGTTTTAAAAGTTTATTTTCTTTTAAACTGATGTAAAAAAATTTTAAGTGAATTAAAATTGTTTATCTGTCAAAGTTCCATTAATTGATTTTACATAATTATGTTGAGACCATGTGTTACATTTTAACACAATCAATCTCAAGTTTCTCGATTTTTATCCCTTTTTTTTTATTATTTTAGATAATTAATTAATAATGTTTCTTTTATGTTCTAATCACTGCTTCGAATCTTATCATTAAAATATAATTTTCTTCGCTAAGGTGGTGTGTACATGGACTTTTTGTCAGAAAGCATGCAAAACTTTTGAGGAAGAGACAATTTTATATATTTTTTGAAGTTTATATACATAAAATAAAAAAATTAAAAAAAAAAAGAGAGAGAAAATAAACATATCAAAGGGATATCAAGTCAATTACCTAATGGAAAAACAAACATTTTATTTAGCCGATGTTGGGTTGGTATATTAGATGTCTCTTTCGTGTTTCCCATTTTTCAGCTCATGTGCCCTTAGGGAGAAGAAAATCGTAGATAACGTTTACATTGGTCTATTCATATCGGTCAAGTTCATTGATCGCATTAAAGTTGTTATTAATACCGTAAGTCTTCTTTTTTTTTTTTATCAATCAAAATTAATTTTATTAATTTGAAGTATAAAGGATATTCTGTCCATTTACATTATCTTTTATGGATATAAAAATAATAATAACACAATTATACATTTACAACTTTAATATTGAATTCATAGTCTTTATGTACTAAAAAAATTAAAGTCATTATTAATTATATTTTTTGGTATTATTAGTCATTATTAATTAATTTACTAAGTCACATATTATTAGGAAGCATAATTATAATTTTTTAAAAATATTTTTCGTTTGGCATTGAGCCATCATGCTGTTTCCAAATCATCAAATTGCATGCATTTCGAGGATAATGAAATCCTTTTTATTTTCTCCTTTGGCCAAAATGAAATCTATTGTTGGATATAGAAGCAACTTTCATATAACTGCTTGCAATATTTACGAGCTATGATTTTTAATTAAACCTTTGAGAAATAGCAAAACCTGAAAAAATCTGCTAGTTATGATTATTTTTTGTGGCTAAGGTATTCTTAGGTCAGATTAGCACAGCTTAAAATTATTTTTTTCCAAAAAATGTTAAGAATCCACTCTTAAATTGACATTGTGTCTTTAAAAAAATTAAATATCCTTAAATAACTTACTATTCTCATAATTCGATTTGCTTTTCAAAAAGATGCACTAATCCTAAATTTTATAATGAATGAATAATGATAAATGAAACTAAAAATTAGAATTAAAATTTAAGATTAATGATAAGATATAAATTATGTTATTTAAAATATTAAAATATAAATTTTATATTATTTAATAATTAATTATTTTTATTTTTTTAAAACTTGTAACATTATATATATATTAATTAATTTAATAATATAAATTATATCATATTATTAATTTTAAATTTTTATCTTAAATTTTTATTCTTACTATGATTACTCATAATGAATTACGATTTAAAATTATTTGAAAAACACTTAACTCAAAATTCTGAATGAAAAAGTTGATATTCAGGAACATTCAAATTTTACCTTTTTTGTGTAATAAAAAAGTTTAAACATATTTGATTTGAATAAAATATAAAAAAGAGAGGAAATAAACGAAAAGATGTCGTAAATTTTTAGTTTCCTCTTTCATTTGGATAGATGAATGGCTTAAAAGTAAATAACTTCTCTCTCCCCTTTTTTTTTCTCCAATTCTTTTACAATTAAATCTAAAATTTTTCTTTCCTCTCCTCCCTTCCCTCTCCCTCAAACCAAATATATTTTTTTACTACTCCCTTAAACTGACTCAACTAGCAATAACTCTTAATTCTCAAAAAAATCTATTAAAATAACCAAGTTGATCACAAGCCTAGGTGCTGGTTTTTTGCGTGCGGGAGAAAACGTAACAAGAATGCATTGTTGGAGCAGCTTCCAGCTAGGACAAGGTTATATGACCAAAATCCATCCCATACAATGCATCTGTCACTCTCAATTTTCCCCAACAAAGAACAAATTGATACTACTTTATTTTTAATTTAAACCTTGGACAAAACCCTACATTCAATCCTCAAACTAACTTTAAATTTTTAATTAAATCTTTAAATTTTTAAATTTAATCATCTGAATAATTTAATCATCTTTTTTATAATAAATTTAATATTCATATATATCTTATTTATATGAATAAATTTAAAACTTATCATATAAATAATAATATATCAATATTTTATCTATATAAACAAGACATAAAAACACGTTAAATTTATTGTAAAAAAAATTAAATTATCTAAATTATTAAATATAAAATTTTATTTACTTTAATAAAAATTTAAAATTTTAATTAAAAATCTGAAATAAGTTTGAGGGCTTATAGGGTTTTGCCTAAACTTTGTGGGAGTAATTTTAAAATAAAATCCAAGGGAATGATTCTGCCCAAAATCCGTCTTTTTCAATCACCTTTGTCTTCTCAACCAAAAATCCTACTTTTTTTTTTCTTTTGGGTAAAGAAAAATCCTAACCTTTAATCCAACCAATCCATATCCATCGTACGATTCATGTCCTCGGAATCATTTCAATAATATCTGTATCTAGTCCTAAATGTTTACCTCGATTAATTAATTACATAAATAAAAAACAAAGAGATCCATTTAAAAAAAAAAAAAAAACGTAGAGATGGGTGTTTATAGTTTTATATTTCAACGTGGTTTGAATTGAAAATTATTAAATTATTTTTATTAAATTTTATTTATGAAAAATATTCAAATATTTTTATAAATGGAATTACATGCAATTTAGATTGAAAAAACTTTTTT